AACCGGTACAATTATACCGGTTTTATGAGAGGATATGTCTAAATAATGTGTCGACACTAATATAGTTTGTGTCGATATTTTTTTCCAGAATGAATGGAAAACAGGGTGCACCCATAAAGTGTCGATCCATATATAAAAAGTGTCGATCCCAAAATCATCGAACCCAAAAGTATAATGTAATATGTAATTTTTCAATCTAACCGGTACAATTATAACCGGTTTTATGAGAGAATATGTCTAAATAATGTGTCGACACTAATATAGTTGTGTCGATATTTTTTTCCAGAATGAATTAAAACAAGTGCACCCATAAAGTGTCGATCCATATATAAAAAGTGTCGATCCCAAATCATCGAACCCAAAAGTATAATGTAATATGTAATTTTCAATTTAACCGTACAATTATACCGGTTTTATGAGAGAATATGTCTAAATAATGTCGACACTAATATTTGTGTCGATATTTTTTTCCCAGAATGAATGGAAAACAAGTGCACCCATAAAGGTCGATCCATATATAAAAAGTGTCGATCCCAAATCATCGAACCCAAAAGTATAATGTAATATGTAATTTTTCAATCTAACCGGTACAATTATACCGGTTTTATGAGGAATATGTCTAAATATGGTCGACACTAATATAGTTTGTGTCGATACTAATTTAAATATCAAGTGTTTTCCACCGTTTATATAGTACTCTTAATCGAGAAACCCTAAACATAAATGCAAGCAGGCAGATCTTCCTCTTTCTTCTACCGTTATCATAAGTGACGATCAGATATTCAGTAAATTTCGATATTTTATGGGTTTGATTGATTTCTATATTGGAGTTTTATCCTGAATGTTTGTGTTCCATTGTAATAGGGGTAGCATCCAACCAAAATGGCTCCAAAACGTCACGTCAGAAGCGAGGTCTTCTCAAAGCTCTTCTCAACCCAGTTCTTCTCAACCACCTCCTTCTGTAACAAACGATTCTTCTGAGGAAATCAGGTCCTTCGAAACTCTGAACTTTAGATCCGACATGGAGAAACAAAGATGGCAGACGAGTTTTAAAGTAAGGAAGATTCGTCCCGAACGTGTCATTGACCTGGGTTTCTTGTTTGATGATGCCAAGAACATAATCTGTGCTTAGCATAAGGGATAACAGATTTGATAGCCTTCTGCATTTCCCTATCCCCATCGGTTACAACAGAAATAGGTGATTTATTCATCATGGCTTCTAAAAAATTCTGTAGCACCCACTCGAAAGATTGAGACGTTTCGTCAGCGATTATGGCAGTGGCAAACACAATTGTGTTATGGTGATGATTGACACCAACAATAGGCATAATTGGTCGACCATACAAATTATCTTTGTACGTTGTGTCGAACGCAATTACATCACCGAAGCATGTGTAATCCGATCTCGATGTAGAATCCGACCAAATAAGATTATACAATGCCCCCGATTCGTCTACCGAGTATGTCATAAAAAACCCGGGATCATCATGTTTCTTATAATCAAAGTAGGCAATAAGCGCATTCACATCCCCATCAACGATTTCCTTTGCTTTACCTCTTGAAGTGCATTGCATAGAGGTCTTTATGTAAATCCAATTATGATAGCCCCTGCCTGCGCGTTAAATAGTTCATTACTTGTGACGTGCCAACACCGACCTCTTTCAATGTTGTTGCCTCATCGATATCAGCTTACTTACAGCTCGATTAGAACGCATAAATGGTGTCATAGCAGATGTGCACAATGCATGATTATGTTTCTGATCAGACTTACTTATAACCCCTGATCGTTTGTATTTGTTGCTGTAACTACGACTCTAGCCTTACATCCTGTTCTTGTGACTGGCGTTCCTGTGCGAATCCCTTGTAAAAGTGCCAAGCTTGATCACGTGAACAGAAGAGCTGACCAACCAATCTGTCAGATTCATCAACATTATGTACTTCATGGCATTCCTCGGTTGGCTTAACATTGTCTACATCAGTATATATCCATGGCAAAAATTTTGTTGTGCAAGTTCAGTGCTCCAGGAGTTGATGGATATGTAAACGAAGGTTCATTTTGAACATGTTTCTGTCGTGCTGCTTTCAATAGGATGTGGCATTGGTAGTGGTAGTTAAAGGGTGGGTACAACATTAAATTCGCAGTACATTTAGGTATGTACAATAACTACAAGTATATTATCTTTTTAAATACAAAATTCTTGTGTCTCACATTCCTTCCACGTCAAGCGTGTGTTCCCTTACGTGCACTAAACCCATGTTCCTGTGCGAATCCTTGTAAAAGTGCAAGCTTGATCACGTGAACAGAAGAGCTGACCAACCAATCTGTCAGATTCATCAACATTATGTACTTCATGGCATTCCTCGGTTGGCTTAACATTGTTACATCATTATTATCCTGGCAAAAATTTTGTTGTGCAAGTTCAGTGCTCCAGGAGTTGATGGATATGTAAACGAAGGTTCATTTTGAACATGTTTGTCGTGCTGCTTTCAATAGGATGTGGCATTGGTAGTGGTAGTTAAAGGGTGGGTAAACATTAAATTCGCAGTACATATTTAGGTATGTACAATAACTACAAGTATATTATCTTTTTAAATTCGCAGTACACTGTTAAAAAAATTGAAACATAAATTACATAAGTTTTAAAAAAAGTATCGATCCTTTTTATAAAAAGTATGGACACTTTCAATATAATAGGTAAACATATGATGTAATAGGTAGCCTTATATAATGTAATAGGTATCGTTTATATGTAATAGGTAGTGGTTATATTGTAAAGTGTCTATCCTTTTATAAAGTGTCCATACTTTTTCACTGTGGAAAACATTAATTTAAGGTTATCTTTTGAGTGAGTTTAAGATATTAATTTAGTAATTATAGGCGTCTAATGATTTATTTTTTACGTTACGGTATATATTATTATTAAATTAAAAATTCTAATAATATTTTATAAAATATAAAAACAATCAAATTTTTTGTGCAAATGAAATTATTAATCAATATTGTAGGTGGAAAACATGAAACACTGTTAAAAAAATTGAAACATAAATTACATAACTTTTAAAAAAAGTATCGATCATTTTTATAAAAGTATGGACACTTTCAATATATAGGTAACATATGATGTATAGGTAGCCCTTATATAATGTAATAGGTATCGTTTATAATGTAATAGGTAGTGGTTATATTGTAAGTGTCTATCCTTTTATAAAGGTCCATACTTTTTTCACTGTGGAAAACATTAATTTAAGGTTATCTTTGAGTGAGTTTTAAGATATTAATTTAGTAATTATAGGGTATAATGATTTATTTTTTACGTTACGATATATATATTATTAAATTAAAATTCTAAATATTATTTTATAAAATATCAAAACAATCAAATAATTTTTTGTGCAAATGAAATATTAAATCAAATAATTCAAATTGAAAATTAAACAACAAATCAATTAAACATTGTTGTGGGTACATTAATTGAACATTGTTATGGGTACATTATTTGGATAATTTCGTTGAGATGGGTTATGTATAACAAAAACAATCTATCTCGCATGTGAGTACTTTATTCCACACCATGTGACAATGTGACAACTCCATCAACTCACAACTCAGCTTTGAACTCAATCAATATTGTCTTTAGCTTGGGTTCATAAAGCATGTTACTTGAACAGTATGAATCAATTATGCAATTTCATGTTCAATTTAACACTGCATTTCAAATCATTTCATATGTAATTGGAGTTTGAATTTAAATTTCAATTTGAGTTTGAATTTCAATATATATTCGGCTCACTATAAATATTAGCCGAAGCCAATATGTATTGATTATTCCTAATTTCCATTGTTTTTTTCCAACGTATAAACGCGAGGGAAATCCCGACCATTTTATTTTTTGGTAAACTTTAAAGCGTCAGAAACGTTTCGGGCGTATGATCTGGGTGGTATACAAGAAATGTAACAAATAGCAACTAAATCATAAGTTGAGTACCACCCAAATCATAAGTCTGAAATACTTCCGATGCTCATCAAATCCAAAGCTCATATGGTGCAAGCAAAAGGAAATCAAAATCCAAATCTCATATGATGCCAAGCAAAGGAAATCAAAATCTAAACTTGAGTTTGAACATTGATATGATATGTTCAGTTGTCATGTTGGGATTTTCTCGTTTTTGATTGCTTGGATAGTGTTTTCTTGCTTCTTCAAGTGTTCTTAAGGTTATCCTTTGAGTGAGTTTTAAGATATTAATTTAGTAATTATAGGCGTCTAATGATTTATTTCTTACGTTACGATATATATTATTAAATTAAAAATTCTAAATATTTTATAAAATATAAAAACAATCAAATAATTTTTTGTGCAAATGAAATTATTAAATAATATTGTAGGTGGAAAACATGAAACACTGTTAAAAAAATTGAAACATAAATTACATAAGTTTTAAAAAAAGTATCGATCCTTTTATAAAAAGTATGGACACTTTCAATATAATAGGTAAACATATGATGTAATAGGTAGCCCTTATATAATGTAATAGGTATCGTTTATATAATGTAATAGGTAGTGGTTATATTGTAAAGTGTCTATCCTTTTTAAAAGTGTCCATACTTTTTTCACTGTGGAAAACATTAATTTAAGGTTATCTTTTGAGTGAGTTTTAAGATATTAATTAGTAATTATAGGCGTCTTGATTTTTTTTACGTTACGATATATATTATTAAATTAAAAATTCTAAATATTATTTATAAAATATCAAAAACAATAATTTTTTGTGCAAATGAAATTATTAAATTAATATTGTAGGTGGAAAACATAAAACACTGTTAAAGTATCGATCCTTTTTATAAAAAATATGGACACTCCCCTCTTATCTCTTAAAAAGGGTCCGCCTTTAGTTAGACATAGTTTATTGGTGTGCAAGTACTTGAAATCTTGCATTTGTGGTGTTAGTCTGAGGTCACTATTTAATAAACTAGGGCAACTCAAGTTGTTTTAAGCTAGACTAATATTAGTTTAGATTTTGATACCTGCACCTTTCCTGTGGAAATACATATAAAACATGGAGGATCTGTACAGGCTTGATGATCTTACAATCTCCTGTTCAAATGATATTGTAAGGGTTGATAACTTTGGTGCAGGAAGCTTTACTGCTACTGTTACCACTGATTTTCTCAGTCCGGTTGATCATTTACTTCAATTCGATCATCAAGAAGCTGATACAGGTGCCACTGGATCAGATGTGTCTGAGCTCATCAAGTCCCAGATCTTGAATCACCCTCGTTATCCAAACCTAGTATCTGCCCACATAGAATGCCAAAAGGTGGTTATGTTTTTAACCCTTTTTTTTTCTCTAGTTTTTAATGATTAATTATCATAGTTACCTTTTGCTTTTTTTTACTGTTTAATGATAGTGTGAAGGGCTTGATCTTCAAATGCTTTTTTCTTATTTTTTATATATAGGTTGGAGCAACGCCTGAGCTGGCGTCGCTTCTTGAAGAAATTGGCAGAGAGAATCGCTCTATTAGTGCTTGTAGTCAGATAGGAGTTGATCCAGAACTTGACAAGTTCGTGGTAACGCTTATGAATTTTTATCTTTAATTATATGCTTTGTTTTGTTCTCGAGAAAAAGTGCAAGGGAAAGAGAGGAATATTACTTGTTGCATGAATCTCAATATTCCAGGAATAACTGTTAACTGGTCTTCTTTGATTGAAGGAATCATATTGCGAGGTTCTTAATCGCTACCAACAAGAGTTATCAAAGCCGTTTAATGAAGCGACAACGTTCTTAAGCAACATGGAATCGCAGCTAAGTAGTCTCTGTAAAGGAGCACTGACCGAAAAATTGGATAACCGTCCCTTTGGTAAAGTTTTTAATTAACCATTTTCTCATCCCAAATTGCATATACTGTTACTGGTAAATGGGTGCTGTTATTTTTACATTAAATAATCAATGTAAGTATAGTAATCTCATTGCTACTGTGCATGTAAAAATAGTTCTTTTTTCTCCACTATCATGGTGCTGGAAATGCAGTATTTATAATTTTACTGCCGTTTCCCTTTGTGCACTTACCTATTTTGCTGCCCTTTAAGAAACCCAGAGTTTAAGACCATCCTAGAATGGCAAAATCCTAGAGCAAGAGAACTCTAAGATTATGTCCAAATAGTATTAAATTGCGAACGAAACGTTTTTAAAGGTTATTGCACACTGGAATCGCATCCGTAATTAAAAAAAACACAATTATTTTTAGGAAATAAATCACACTTTGCTATCACACCAGCAATTTAGTAATATCCTGGATATCAGTTTTATAGATATTGAAGACTGACATGTTCGTTCTTCATTGCTGAATATTTTAGCAGACAATTTACATGTTATTTGCTTCATATATTTTCAGATGAAGCTGGTGGGATTTCGGAGGAAGAGTTAAGTTGCGGTGGGGAAGTTGAAGCTTCTGAAAATCAGGAATCTCTGGACGACCGTGGAAGCGAGGACGTCAAAGGAATGCTCATGCGCAAATACAGTGGCTATCTGAGCAGTTTGAGGAAAGAATTCTTGAAGAAAAGAAAGAAGGGTAAGCTACCAAAAAATGCAAGGGTGACACTGCTTGATTGGTGGAACAATCATTATAGATGGCCTTATCCTACGGTAAATACAACTTAATTACTGGTAGTTTTTTCTTCTTGGCCATGCCTCATCAGATGACTTTCAATATGGAGTTTTGTGAAAGAAAATTACTATAACCAATAGCTAATTTCATTATGAAATGCTAGTGTGCTCTCTGTAGGGTTATTTTCAGCGTTGGAGCATCGAACTCTTTAGTAGAAAAACTACCGCATTGTCCTTGAACCCTAATTTAGTATGTTTTTCAACCCACCCGTCCTGAAACAATGATAGTTAACACGAATGTTTTGATGAACATCAAGTTTTGTTTGCTAACTAAATGGACATCTTTATCTGGCCAAAAAAGAAAAAAAATGATCCTGAACATAAGGTTTAGTTCAGATTTTCAATGTAATTATCTTTAAAAAGCGATCTCAAACAGATTTGGAGTTCAAATCTCGACATTTTAAACCTTTGTTTTATTCCGACATTATATTTCTTGTTGAGATTCATGTGTTTGTCTAGGTTTATTGATTAAGAAGGGTTTGTGGTGTTATTGCAGGAGGAGGAGAAACTAAAGTTATCAGAGATAACAGGACTAGAGCAGAAGCAAATCAACAAACTGGTTCATCAACCAGAGGAAGCGGCACTGGAAACCATCAGAGGATATGAAATTCGCTCTTATGGAAGGCGTCGCCGGACGCATCGAAGGACCTATGTGCTTGGATCATGGAGTTGGAACCAATGACAATAATATTTAGTCAAAACAATTACTCTTTTAAATCATCCTTTCATCATGTAATATTATTTAGGTTTCAACGTGTTCAAGTCTGCAACATTCCACACCTGTAAATCAGTAAATGTTAATACTCTTAATCATTTACTAATTACATTATTATTTTTTAAAAGTTATTAGGTCATATTGATACTTGTCAATGCATGGAATGGTTACCGATATTTCCATATTTGATGCAATAAATTCCCTGCTGTTGTGGTGGATGAAAATAGCTTCTGAAAATGTTGTAAAAATATGGATCACTGAATCCTGTATAGCCATTGGTTCCACTGAAATATGAAAATTTATAAGAAAGCACCAGTTTCCAGTTTTCATGACTTGGGTTTATGGTCCTTATGACTGCTGGTATTAATGTTGCTTTCAAGGCTTTAATTGACGAGTCTTTCCGTGTTGGAATTTAGTGGTTCGATGTCTTAAAGTATCAGCTTTTTCTTTAATAACCTTTGAGCAGTAATATGTAAGGCACTCAGATCCTGTGAAGTCATGTCTGCAGCTCAAAAGTGCTTCTTTATGAGTGATTTCATCCAAAAAAAAAAAAAAAAATCACCCAAAATAATAAAAAAATTCAATTTAACACCATTTTTCGAATATATATCAAATTAACACCTTTCTGATAAAATAAGATAGATGCGCTTTTGTGTGAAACATGCCTTATTGAAGTGGACAAAAAGGTGTGCTGATTTTTATTGATATTGCAACACGGTGAAAGACGCGTTGGAGGAGACACTCCTTTGAAGATGTGTTGTGGGAAATACACTTGTAGATTGGTGTACAACAACTAATCCAACTCACTTACACCAGAATTAGTTCAGAAGAGGAAGAGTGAGAAAGTTGGAATTATGGGTCAATTTGTTACGAAAGACGGCTATCGGATAGAGCAAAATCGCAATTGATAATTTGAGAAAATAAAAATAAAGATAAAGAAGACAAAATTTTACGTGAAAAACCCCTAAATAATATAGGGTAAAAACCACGGGCAAAGGTAGAAGAATTTCACTATGAGAAAATAGGAATTACAACTTCTCTCAATCTAACAAGGAGAAAACAATGATAATTCTCTCTTGATAAAAAGGAGAAAACAACTCTCAAGAAACTCTCTAAATTCTCTAGTATTGGGAGAAAGCTAGAATGATTTGGGATGGTTTTGAAGCTAAATGGGTTAAGGTATTTATAGTTGAAGCTTAAGGACTAATCTTGTAAATACCCTAAAGTACAACAACTAAATCTACAATTTTACCATCCATGAAATTCAACAATTTCATGCATCTAATTTTGACAGCCAACTTTGAATTCAGTCACCCCATGTGCAGCAAAATAAGACCATTAATGTAGCTGTGAATTTTGACTTTCAACAATCTTCCACTTGAAGGTTTGATTGGAACAATCATATCTTCATATCATTCTTTCTACCTTGTACCTTCATGCTGCTTATATTTCTGTTAGGCCACAAGAGGATCGAAACCAGGTAAATTTATCAGCGTTGATCGCCTTCGTCATGAAATCTGCTATGTTGTCTTTGGTATGGATCTTCTGCATATCTACCGTTTCTTCTTCCACTTTTTTACGAATGAAATGGTACTGAACTCGTATGTGCTTTGTCATTGAATGAAATGATGCATTCTTTACTAGATGCAAGGCGCTATGACTGTCACAAAACAGAGATACATACTCTTGATTGTGCCCAAGGTCCTCCAATAGCATCTTCAACCAAATTGCTTCTTTACTGGCTTGTGTAGCTGTTACATATTTTGCTTCTGTTGTGGATGTAGCCATAACTGACTGCAATTTTGAAACCCAGCTTACAGCTCCACCAATTTTGAACACATATCCTGTAGTATATTTGCTTTTATCCAAATCTCTTGCATAGTTAGAATCTACATACCCATTGATTAGTAAGTTTGATCCTTCATAACATAATGCAATATTTGAGGTCCCTTTGATGTATCTCAGGATCCTCTTTACTATATTCCAATGCTCTTTGCCTGGATTCGCCATATATCAACTAACTATTCCCACTGCTTGTGCAATGTCTGGTCTTGTGCATATCATAGCGAATATTAAACTTCCCACTACTGATGCATACGATACTCGAGACATCTTCATCATCTCTTCTTCACTGCTAGGACTCATACTGGAGGATAATTTAAAGTTAATAGGAAGAGGGGTAGAAATTGGCTTACAATCTTGCATATTGAATCGTGGCAATATCTTCTTCAAGTAATTCTTTTGTGAAAGCCAAATCTTCCTATTACTTCTGTCTCAATGGCATCCCTAGAATCTTATTTGCTGATCTCAAGTCCTTCATTTCAAATTCCCTAACCAGTTGTGCCTTCAATTATTCAATATGATCTTTGTTGGGTCCTGCAACCATCATTATCATCCACATACAATAACAATATAACAAAATCATTATCACTAAACCTCTTGAAATAAGCGCAAGGGTCTGCATTACGTCTGTTGTATCCAAGGCACATAATGAAGGAATCAAATCTCTTATACCAACACCTCGGCACCTGCTTTAGACCGTACAGAGATTTGTTCAACATGCAAACCAAATTCTTCTTTTCTTTTTCTTCAAAACCTTCAAGCTGGAGCATGTAAATATCTTCTTCAAGATTTCTATGAAGAAAAATTGTTTTAACATCTAGCTGCTCTAGATGTAAGTTCAATGTAGCACACATTGCCAAGACTACTCGAACTGTTGTTAGTCGAACCACAGGAGAAAATATTTCATAGAAATCAATACCTTCTTTTTTGAGCATATCCTTTGGCCACCAGTTTTGCACGATACCTCTTAACTTGATCGTCACCATTTCGCTTGATTTTGAAGACCCATTTGTTACCAATTGGTTTCCTTCCTTGTGGTAGTGGCACAAGGTCTCATGTATTATTATTATGAAGTGCTTCAATTTCTTCTTGCATCGCCATTATCCACATTGAAGCATCTGAGCTGTTTATTGCCTCCTGGAATGTTGATGGCTTGCCGTCCTCTGTTAAAAGGCAGTATGCAATATTTCATTCTATAACATAATCTGAGTGCCAATTGGGACATCTTCTCACACGATCTGATTGATGAGTTGTTGGAGTTTCATAACTCTCTGGTTCTTGTTCATTATGTAATGGTTCTACTTCAGAAGAATCTCCTTGTTCAAACTCCTTTTCCACATGTATCTATGTAGTCTCTGACTTTTTAGCGCTATCATCTTCTTCTTTTCTTTGTAGTTTATATTCTACAAAGATAACATCCTTGCTGATGATCACTTTGCGGGCAGTGGGATCCCACAAGCGATACCCCTTTACTCCATCAGTATACCCCAAGAATTTGCATTTCCTGGATTTTGGATCCAGCTTTGAAATTTCTTGGGAGTTGTACATCACGTACACAATACTTCCAAATACATGGAGGTTTGAATAATCAGCTAGTTTACCAGTCCACATCTCTATTGGTGTCTTTAGCTCTATTGCAGTTGATGGAGCTCGATTCACCAAATAACCGACGGTATTGACTGCTTCTGCCCAAAATGATTTTCTAGGCCTGCAGCCCTCAACATTGCTCTTTTTCTTTCTAACAAGGTTCTGTTCATCCGCTCTGTCACTCCATTTTGTTGAAGAGTGTTCGCCACTGTGAACTGTCTTTTGATGTCTTCTTTCTTGCAAAAGTCATCAAATTCTTCACTTATGTATTCTCCTCCATTATCTGTTCTGAAACACTTGATCTTATTTCCAGAATCAAGTTCCACCCGCGCTTTGAAGTTTTTGAAAGTTGAAAACACATCTGAATTCTTCTTAATAGGGTACACCCAATATCTCATGGAGTAGTCATCAATAAATGAGACAAAGTATTTTGCTCCACCTAGGGATGTAACTAGTGCTTGCCATATGTCAGAATGAACCAATTATAGAACACTTTTGCCTCTAGAATTTGACGTGTTGAATTTCAACCGGTGTTGCTTACTTGTTATGCAATGCTCACACAAAGTAAGTGATACATTTGTTAAGCCTAGAAGTAGCTTTTGCTCCACAAGGACTTTCATTCCTTGTTCTGACATGTGTCCAAGTTTCTGATGCCATAGCATTGCAAAATCTGATCTACGTGAGGCAACAGAGGCTTCTGCTTCTAACAAAGTCTCTCCCTTCAGTATGTATAAGTTTACTGCTATTTTTTTGCCTTTCATCACCATAAGCGCTCCACGGAACACCTTCATGATTTCTTTCCGTGTTTTAATCTTGCTTGCATTATTATCCAACAATCCGTAGGATAATAAATTTTTCTTCAGGCCTTTCACATGCAGCACATCTTGAACAACTTTAATTGTTCCATCATACATCTTCAATTTGATGGTTCCCACACCAATACTCTCTAAGGAATGATCATTACAACTATACACAGATCCTCTTAAGACAGGTTCATAATGATGTAACCATTCTCTTCTTGAGGTCATGTGATATGTTGCTCCCGAATCAATGAGCCATATATCTGAAAAACAATTTCTGCCTTCCACGGTGGTTGACGCTTCACAACATAAAGCATCTCCATCATCTGAAGTGTTTGTGGTATTGCCTTGTGGATTGGAGTTTTTATTTAGACTCCAATAATCCTTCTTCAAGTGACCCTTCATTCTATAGGTTTAGCACTTTAAATTCTTTTTGCTTCTCGACTTTGATCTACCATGTTTATGACTGCTACTTTAGCCACGTTCTGTTGATCTCCCTCTCATCATTGTCAACGCTTCTGCTTGTTGCAGATTTACTTGTATGTCTTCCTTGTTCTTGCACCGATTTTCTTCTTGTAGAACAACAGCTGTAACGTCATCAAAGACTAGACTGCTGACATTACTGTTTGACAAGTTGATGATGAGCTGTTCATACAAATCATGTAGACTTTGAAGTAGAAGTTCAGCCAATTCTTGTTCTCCTATTGTACATCTTAAGGATGTAAGCTGAGAAAATAAAGTGTTCAGCGTGTTTAAGTGCTCCGTCACTGATGTAGATTCTGACATACGGAGAGTGTACAATTTCCTCTTAAGGAAAATTTTATTGTACAACGATGTAGCCTCGTACAATTTGGTGAGATCTTAGCTGT